ACTCCTAATGCGCATGCAGCACTCCTAATGCGCATGCAGCACTCCTAATGCACATGCAGCACTCCTAATGCACATGCAGCACTCCTAATGCACATGCATCACTCCTAATGCGCATGCAGCACTCCTAATGCACATGCAACACTCCTTATGTGCATGCAGCAAACCCAATGCGCGTTTCCTTGCGGGTGAAAATAAATGCTCAGGGCCACTGGAAGTATTTTTGATTTTGGGGTCCTGTGATATTTTTTTTCTAAGCCTATAGGCCTATTTAAAATACAAGTAAAAAGAAAATCAATAAATAGAAATATATTACTTTATTGTCATATACACTTATACACGTAGGTTTGATCAGCCGGCAGGAGCCTGAGTCACTGTGTTTATGTCACACAGGATTCTATTAATTCCAAAATTCTTTTACAAAAAAAAACACAAGTAAATTATTATATTATACTATTTAAACGTTATTGAACAGTTCTCAACGTCCATTACACAAAGAACACAAGATCAAAGCAACACTCTAACATACCATGGTTACGTCAAACTGCACAAATAGATATGCAATTGTGCAGCAGCAACATGCTCTGACTTTGAGCTACAGACGGGTTGCCATGGTTACAGGTGTTCAAATGTTGAAGTGCGCTCTGAGGTCGTGGAGATAAAAGTCCCCCTGGAATGTGTCTTTAATCCATATTTCCTCCTCATTTCTGATTTTAGACTATTTAAATTTACTAGTCTGATTCAGTGATTCCAGTAGCTTGTGTTGATTAGGCCCTCAAAATATTTTAATTAAAATCCAAACACACGTAATAGTAAACATTTTAAAAAAGTCAAAATAATTTCCCAAAATGTTCATAAGAAACGTATAAATTGTGCAAAGTATTTTTAATACATTTTTTTAAGCACCCCCACTTCCTGTGGCCATGCTTGTAAATACAGTTGACAGACCCTGCCATTGTAAACCACAAGAAGAAAAATAACAGTTGGCCTCGGGACTGGTTCAGCTGGAGGTTTCTTCCTGTTCAAAGGGAGTTTTTCCTCTCCACTGTCGCTACAAGCATGCTTAGT